AATTATAAATTTCCAAGTTACTTAAGTATTATTATACGAAGTTGGAAAAAAACATGGAAAAATCTATATCTTAAAAAAATTATTTCTAAAAGATACCTTTACTTTGTTACGCGTCGAAGTTTAACGGAATCTAATATAATTTCTTTTAGATTGTGTCGAATAAACGATAACAGGAAAAAAACCTTAAACTGTTCAAGACATTTTGTCAATTGTTTAAGAAAATTGTACTGCTATTATGAAATATGTATGATCCTTTCAATAATAACTTAAACCATCGCGATTATTAATAAAATAAATCTGTAGTATGATGGATTCTACATTGCAGTGTTGAAACTTCTATTTGTCAACTTCATATTATGCAAAACAGACAGTGTCTTTTATAATCTACGACCGAAGAACCATGGCCTACTTGGTTAAATTTATGACGAAACTTCAATTGATCATTTGTAGTTCAACAACGAAATTTTTATATCCCGTCGTACTACGCGCCATTCATGCGGACATGAAAAATTTGCTATGATAGAACTATGAATGCAGAACTTTGTTAACAATAGATTAAGTAATATTCGTCGGCCAAGCTTATCGCGGGAAAAAGTAAAGACTCGAGAAAAGTGATGCGTCCAAAGCTTATCTACCTTGTGTGTGGATTCTTCTCTCTTTCCCCAATATTCTTAAGTAGGAATAGCCACAAATGCCTACGAACCTCCTAATGAGACGAAGACTAATGTCAGCGAATGATGGGACCGTGACAGAACAGCGCAGAAAAAAAATAGATACTATTTTAACAACTTTCTGAAATTAGTCAATGCAAATTACTTTACTATAATTACATTAATAAGAAATTAATGATTTACTTTAAACTTAACTTTTGTCCTCTTTATTAATGTATGTTTTAAATATTTATTGTGTGATCGTTGAGAAAATGATCCACTATGTAACAATATATTTCTGCAGAATACTACATTGGAAATGTTTACTGTGCAATAATTGTGACGTACATCCACTCTTGACTCTTCCTCTTTTTTATATTATCCACAATCAGTGGATAAATAGTAGGTATGCGTTCAACGAGAACAAGGGGCAAACTGATTTTTCAAGGATATAGATCTTTAATGCAACATACATTTATGTTTTCTTGACCTTTAAGCCTGATCTACAATGTGTTCTTTGCTTCCTGTTTTCTGTTCTTACTTCTTTGCGACTGTCTCGTATTTCGCAATTCCGTCGCGTAACGTGATGTTTCTTGTCTCTTCTGAAGTTCGTCAATTTTTATCTTGGGCGACAGAGAACAAAAAACATCGCATTACGCGACGGAATTGCGAAATACGAGAGTCGCAAAAAGGTAAAAAACAGAAAACAGAAAGCAAAGATCACATTGTAGATCAGGCTTTATAAAACCAGCTGTATTGGAAAAGTATTTCGCATTTGCCTCGTTGAACTTTTTCTCTGCAGCTTGTGGGTTGACGATTTCAAGTCCCTGCAAATACAGACAAAATAAAAAATTATTTATGCAATTAAATTTACCAGTTGTAAAGCGTCAAAAGCATAAAAAGTGTAAACATACTTGTAAAGGGGTGAAAGCCACGCTGGAAGCAGTGCCGCAGACTTGTTTTCTGACAGTGGTGCTGCCTCCCCATTGCTGTTGCTTCTGCAGATTCTTCTGCAGATTCTTGGATATCCTGACTTTCGTCTTCTCGTCAATTTGTGGCAACCTGATTCGGCCAGTGCCAGCCTTACCAATAGTCCCTCGCGAGTAGCCAAGATCTTCTTGATAGGCATCATTCTCAATCTGCAATCGCAATAATAATATATTCTCTAATTATTCTCAGAACATTATAAATTCCAGAACATTCATTTATTACTTACGTCTCCCAATTTCATCCTATTTGCGTGCTTTTTTAACTCCGTGGAAGCGTAGCGTTCCTTCATCTTACGAACGCGTTTACCGCCGCGCTTCTTTCCACCAGGATCGATTGGTTTTGGCAGCGGTTTCACAAACTTCACGGATGGCGGCTCTTGCAGCTTATCCAACTTCTTCTCGATCTCTTCGCGCAGCTTTTGGCCCATGGGACCGTCCGTGTACGCATTGCAGGCGTCTACTCTAGCTGCTAAGATGCTTTTCGTTGACACCAGCTTCGCCGCTTTCCGCCGTAGATCCTGTAACGTTACATACGTTAGAGTCATATCATTGTTGTAATATTTCGCTACTTCTTATAATTTTTATTGTACAAAGCATGCAAGAAGAACAAACTTACAAGAGGTGTTCCTTGTACGATTTCAGAATAATATATAAATCCTGCATGAGGCAAGGTGGTAACTTGCGAAAATCCAGAGAGCGCGGTTTTCTGAGATCCAAGGACCACCAGATTGCACGCTGGTATCTGAGAAAGCTTCGTCAGACCGTCTGCGACTCCCATAATCTTGGCAGCTGTTGATGCACCGACGATTATCAATAGGTTTGGCGCGATAAATGCCATTCTGCTCTCTACATATTCAAATATCTTTAATTTACAGTTATTCAATTCCACTGCCATATCACAAGCTTCATAAATAGCTTCTCTCTCCTCTTCCGTCAACAGTTGACCCTGAGTGGTCGACGCGGTCATAGAAACAATCATAATTGTCGCTTGGGTGAGAAACTGCTGTAAATTCTCATTATTTTTAGCTCTCTTGGGGTCATTCCCCAATTCCTTGACAGTCTTTACGTATTCAAGTGGTCCTACCACTAAGGATTTTAATTCTGGAAATCTTTTCGAATACTTGTCTCTGATAAATCTATGTATAATGGCTATTTCATTGTCAATTTTAACTGCCATATTATTAGCTTCAACTATCAACTGATATTCCGGATTGGATTCTACAGGTCCTATGATATCGGTTGACTTCCTGGGTACTTTGCTGTGCCTCTCAATTTGTGACATAACTTGCGGCAGCTGTTCCGAATCTCGTAACTTGGCTAACTCTCGAATTGAGGACACCTTTATCTCTGCACAAAGAAAAGGCAAATTAATTTTATGTAACGTATTAGATATGCATGAAATGTAAAACATGTAAATTGCGCTGTGTAAAACAGAACATTGTATGTACAAATAGTTATTTGTGTAACAAGTGAGGTAAGATGAAAATTCCCGGGTGCGGAGTTTACGCACGAGCCAAAGGCGAGTTTCATCTTTACACACGGCTTACACTCCCTATTTTATGTTGCAAGTGCCTGGAAAGTGGTCTATCACGCACGCGTAGCGTGCGTAATGAGGCACTTTCTATGCACGTGTTGCATAAAATAAATTTCCATACACTGTAAAATAAGCTAACCTTCTTCTATGACTTTCGGGATAAACGTCGGCTCCGGCTCCTCCATAAAAACATCCGCGTCGTCATTTTCCTCGAGATCGGCAAGAAGTTCGTCAGCCAAAGACATTTTTCCTCGTTACAAATTATTTGTCAAGCTCACGGAGTCTCGGCGGCACTGCGGCAAACGCGAAAATTCAAACAGCCACGAGGTCAGTCGAAAATGAAGAAAATCCAGAAAATCCCCGAACGTAAGACAATTTTCCGACTAGTTTTTTTCCAACACTGTTTTAATTTCACATTAGAGGGAGAAGGTGAAACTATTGAAACTGATGGAATATGGGGATTGGAAACGATATGCGTGGCCAATATATTTTACTTTAAAGACGTGGTGGTCACAACGTGCCGATTGCATAATCTCGCTTCACTCGCGATTCGCGATTATTTTATGAAAAACGATATAATCCCGAAAAATATTTACTTCCGGATGTTAATTATAGCTTGTAATACAATAAAGCCTGCGGATAACGGTCGCGGCCGAATACTATCTCCTCCTCGTCGGATGTCGAAATTGTCGAACGATTATTCGCGATTACTTTGGATCTCGTAACACGCGATCTTGACCCGGCAATGATTGAAGAGAAAGAGGAAGAGGAAAAGCTGGAACACTTATACTGTGGCTGGAAACTGGAAAAGACCTCGCTTCCCTCCAAAACGTCTTCCACCTCCCACTTGTTGAGTCTCGCGTCTGCGCTGCGCGCGGTCAATGGTCACGCCACTGACGCCACGCGCCCATACTTTGTAAACACGCCTTGTCTTTCTCATACTCGCGCGCGCCTATTGGTAATGCCCGTATCACACTAGCGATTGACGATTGGGTTTAAGGCCTTCACACATAAAAT